CTTCTGTAAGTGACCTTGGTCATGATGTCCTACCATAGCTACAGAAAGTGTCTGATACAATTCTGGCATTGAGTTGTCTTTATTGTGATAAACTGAGCCATGCTGAAGTGTATATGCCATTTGCGTTTGTTCGTGCAGGGTGCTCGTGTGCCCATCCCTTTTGCCCGTCTCCAACATTTCTGCATCAATCCGAAAGGAAATCCCATCCCCTTGAAACACCCCTCCTCCCAGTTCTTGGCAACCACCAATCTGCCTTGTACACCTATTGGTTTATACTTTCTGGTTATTTTATGTAAATAAAGTCATGCAATATGTGACCTTTTTGAGTCTCATCCCTTTTCTTTTGCAATATGTTTTGTAGCTCAGCTTGGCGGCAGTGTGTATCAACCCGTTCTGTCCAGACTGGAGACTGTGGTACATCTCTGGGTACACCTCATTCTGTTTCCCCTCTTGTCCTCAGGTGGGCACACGGCTTGTTTCTGCCTTAATGGCTATCCTAAGAGGTACAGCTATGAATATTTATGGACACCTGTTTTCAATTCTTTATGGGCACCTATACACCTAAGGGTGGATTGTATACAATTCCATATTCAAAATTTGCAAAGCCACTAAGCCATCTCTCCGGCTCATGGTGCTCTTGCAAAGGCTCTCCGTTTGGTCCCAGCACCCACATTGAGTGACCCAGATCGGCCATGTCTAGTGGCTCACAGCTACTGCAGCTCCAACTCCAGGGGATCTGATAACCTCTTCTGACCCCCACAGGTACCTGCAGTCTCCTGCACATAGTCACATACAGATACAAAGTGAACAAGAGAATAAACCTGTTTTTAAACTATGAAGGAAGGAATCACCCTTCTTGATACCACTGGACCCGATGGCTCCCAGAGTCTTTGGCTTTCCTGGGCTATGGCAGCATTGCTCCTTCGCTGCCTCAGCCTCTACTTTGTGTCGCCTCCTCTTCTTACACAAACAGGTCAGTGGACCTGGGTCTAGCCCAGTCATCTTGGCCTCATCTTAACTGCTCACAACTACAGAGATCCTATGTCTGAATAAGGCCACCGTGTGGGGCTCCAGGAGGACATGAACTTGGGAGACTCTACTAAGTACCTTACTCTCTGCCGCCCTCATCCTTGAAGGCCTTAAGCCTCCCACCACAGGATTGTCGGGGCTTCCAAGACCAGCTTCTGCCTCCAGTCTACAGTTCTCGCCTCCACCTATGTCCCTGGGAGCAGTTCACAGATAGGGAGAGCGGGAGACTTCCAGAGGCAAGGCTAAGTCAGAGCATTAAGAATTTTATGCTTATTTAACTTCTGGTCCCTCTTAGATACTTGGCTAGCTTAGAAAATCGCTGCTTAATTGAAGACTATTTCCTTCAGCCTGATCTAAGTATGAATCAGGAGTTTTGTGGCATTTACAGATTCATCAATTGATGTCCATAATGTCTAATAGAAAATGAAAAAGTAAGCAATATTTGGGCCAGGCTAATGGGAGGCTACATTGTAAATCTTATTCGCTTTTATCAGTGTTAGCGTGTGAATGCACAGGTGCAGTCATGCCATGGCACGCGTGTGGAGGTCAGACGTCAACTTTCAGGAGTCAGCGTTCTCCTTCCACCCCATGAAGGAGAACCTACCCAGGGAACACCTTTACAGTACGAACCATCTCACCAGCCCCAAAGCTCTGTTCTTGTGGAAACTGAGGACATGGAGCTGGACCGTGTCAGAGTGTGGGACTTGTGTCCTTTCTCCTTGATATCTCGCTGAGGAAGTTCTGGGTTCAGAAGAGGTTTGGGATAAACATATCTGCGTAGCAGGCAGAATAGAGACAGCTCATACAAGGACCATTGAGGGGCCCTTCCTGAGTCCCAAGACATGTCAAGTCCAAGGAATGTCTGGCTCTCGCTAGAAAGGAGAATTTCTGTCTTGCCGCTGCCACGGTGGCCTCCCTGCTCCTCCTGGCCTCTCCTGTGCAGATGAAATTGGAAAGAGGCTGTGCTCACAGAGGCTTGAGTGACAGCTCCTGAGTCTCCTTGCCCTCACAGGTTCCACTCTGGTTTGACATTAACAGTGCTGAACACAGTGGAGTAAGCTCTGACGACCAGCAGCCTGGTTCTGCTTCGCTTATTGCTCTCCTTTTCTATCGGGTTGTGACATTTCCTGCCACTGAGGTCTCTTCCCCTTTTAACAGAGCAAGGAGCGCTCTCTTAAAGGACACAGTCTTCTTGCCTCTCTGTTGGTAAACATTTGAGGCAACAGGGTTCTGTGTTTATAGAAACACTGGTTTAGGGGGAAGAAAACTCAGCTTGGCCCTTTGTGGGGGGCGGTGAAGGCTGTTTCACTCACTCGCTGAACAAATATTTATTAAGGACCGCTTTTAAGGATGCCGGGCCTCTCCCAGGTAGAACAGGACAAATGAAGCCTTGCATGCGGATGTTTAGAGTCCCAGCCCCACAAATGCTAACACTGGCTTCTGCCAAAAGAAGCAAAGGGTATTTTTTTTTCTCATGTGGATTTGGGGAGTCAGTAAATATTTTTCTGTGATTTTTTTTTTTTTGAGTTTACAAAATGTGTATCCGTTTGTCCTGAAATGAGAGGTCTGTCTGTTTAGATGAGTCCCACACTCATCTTGATGAAATCTTACAAAGTTCAGGAGCAAAAGCACGCCCAGGACTAATGAACCCCAACCGTAGACACATGGGTGTCTGTGTTCTGAGTGCCCAGCAGATTGCCTTGAGTTTGAACTCAGACTCTGCCAGTGTACTAACTGGGTGTCAGTGAGATGGATGCCTGAGCTCCCTGCTTTGTAGTGCCCTGTGAAATAGGCACTATGGAAGCCTTGTACTGTCCAGAGAGGTAGAAGAGGCCAAGGGGCTAGATTCAAGTCTTGTCACAGTGGGAACCAGGTGTTCTCTGCAGGTATTGCAGGAGCAAGCCTTCCCAGACTGGGACTGCTTAGGAACTCAGAGGTAGAGGTTCAGCAACAATGTAGCGCCTTCTGAGTCCTTTCTCTGTGCTCAGATGGAGGCGCCTGTTCTCACTCTATGTCCTGTGTGTTCCGGGAGTTTGTGTCCTTGGAACTAAAAGCCGAGGCCCTCCCCAGATGCCCTGCTCAGCACCAGCATATAGAAAAAGAAACAGAAGATGGATTGTGTTGCCTGCACCTTGCTCACCTCTGAGCTGAATTCAAAGTGATTTGTTTACATCCTAGAAAGGTCCATCATCAACAGCAGGGGGCTGCATCTCAGTGTATTCCTGAGAGTTAGTGAAAGAGTTGGTAGTAGTGGTTGTTATGTGTAGCTGGCCTTGATCCCGTGATCATTTTCTCAGGACTCAGAGTATTGCTGCAGAAGGTCCCCATGTGATCAGGCAGTACCAAGGGCTTCCCTCAGCTCTCCAACATCCCTGGAGGCATGAGAGTTTCTGCTCTGCTGGTTTTATGCACCCAGAGAGAGGCAAAACTGGTCCAAGACCACTCAGCTTGTGGATGGGAGCAGGTGTCTTAATTTTTTGAGATCCAGGCATTTCCAGTGGGCATATTGCAAAGACAGCAGTCATAGTTAGAAAGATGCTGGGGGGGGGGTGGACTCAATCATTTAGTTCTTTAAACTTAGGATTCCTCAATTTCTTAATCTTCTAAATATGATTGTTGGAAACGTGAGGGTTATTTACTTTGGCGGTGGTTTCCATGTAAAGATAACAGAATTTCCCTCCCATTTCTGCGTGGTAATTACCCATCCACTGTGGTACATAGTCGGGGGGGACATGTGACTGGCTCCTCAAACCCTTTGGTGAAAGAGAAAGGGGAGGGCCATACCCAGCCAGATCCGTGAGCCAACAGTCCAAAGCAAACAAGAAATGGCCACTCTGTTTATAGAGTATGCCACAGTACTGAGGCATTCATTCATTTATTCATTCAGTCGCCCAGATGTGAGGTCCCCTGTGGGTTGCGAACGTGGCTCGCCTTCCCCTCTCATTTTCCCTGCACCCCTGGCCTAACTCATTCATATCCTCAGTGTTCCACTACACAGAGTCCCCAATTTGCATGATTTGCCCAAGCTGCTCTTGCACTTGGAAAATGGAAGCGCCAAGGGACTTGGAAACCAGGCTCCTGCCACACGCCTGGCTCTGCAGAAAAGGCTTGGCTGGGAGCTAACCCTTTTCCTTGGCTAAGAAATAACAAGGCTGCCCACTCGGTGAAGAATAGACACCATTACATGTCCGGAGAGAGGCTATGCAACCGACAATTTTTCTCCCAGCGGCTGTCCTTGTGGGTGTGCGAAATAGCCAATAGCAGACACATTAAGCAATTGGCAGGTGAGAGCAGGTGTCCCCAGAGGCACTGCCACCTCATGTTTAGCGCCTCCTGGATATGTGTATGTATGCACTGTGACTTATAGTCTCCAGAATAATTGATTTTAATATGTATGGGAGAATCAATACTGTGGGAAGAAAGCCAATGTCCCCCGCTCTTTGATGGGTAATTTCCTCCTAGCTCCCTTCAGCCAAGGAGCTTTCACTGGGGTGTTAAATTTCTTGACTGAGGGAGGAGTAAAAGACCCATGGATGGTGGAATTGAATTGAAAGTGAGGAGATGGGGTGAGGGTGCCTGCTAGGCAGAATTCAGACAGTGCCCTAAAAGGCTAATTCCTAATTAATGGCTTCAACCATGTGTGAATGGAGAGAGTGGATTTGAGAAGGTTGTCACAGCATTGCTGTGGTCATTACCTGGATAGTGATGGGACCAGAAACCACATTTACAAAGTGAATCTGTAGAGATGCTGGTCAGAGGATGACCTTTGGGGACTCATTGGAGTTAGTTGGAAAGCTGTGGACTCTGATCTGACGGCAGGGGGTTCTGGTGTGGCTAGCTGGTTCTATGATTTCCCCGTGGCGCCATCTGCTGGTCATCTTTGGAATTTGACCTCCAGTTAAGCAGAAATGGCTCCTAAATCTTGCATCTAGTTTCAGGTTTCTATTTCAAGTTCAAAGCAGAGTCCATCAAACATTAACCAATAACACTTTAATCACATAAACCCCCTCTTGAACACATGTCAACTTCCTCTCCAACACTCAGCACTTTGCCATTGTGTGTCTGCCCCACTGGACTGTGAGCATCTTGAAGTCCCCTCGCATCCTCTTGTTGGAACCCAGGTTCAGGGTGTGCCCAGCCATGGGTGCTCCAGATGAGGAGGAGCAGAGGTGGTGCCAGGAACACTTGTGTAGTATGCAGAGGTCACTGTCCTCTTGCTGGCTCAGAGCAGATCGTGAACAGGGCTCCCCTGCGTTCCCCACGCACCCTAAAGCTGGCACAGGGTCTCAGATCACAGAGCCTCAGATGAAGGAAGGTAGAGTCTCTGAGAGACAGGCAACTAGCAAAGTGACAGATATTGAGCCCAGGTATACGTCTCCCTGTCCCCAGTGCACTGCCGGGCTAGTTGTAAACCACTAAAATGCTCAAGACGGTTCTTGTATCAAATGTCTCTGAGCTCAGCACCTCCGTAGGCTGCAGCATAACTTCTGCCTACCCTTGGCTTGTAAGATCCAGACCAGCACCGCCTGAATATTATAATAGTAATAGTAATAATAATAATAATCAGCAGCAGCAGCAGCATCTCCAATATTGCTGCCCACCCTGGCTTAGCAGCAAATAAAAAAATCAAGACCATCATTCTGTCCCCCAAGGCAGGACTGGTGAGGGCCCCAGGTCTTAGCAAGGCTTTCTCCCAGCAGTCAAGTGTTCTATCTGACCCTCTGCTCAGCTCAGGAGCCATGCAGCCATGTCTCCAGCATGCCAGCCTTGGAAGAGCAGCGCCTCATGCTCCTGTGAGTGCATTGAGGTTGAGGATACGAGCTTTGTCACCCCGGCTTCTGCAGCACGCAGTCTATTTAGGTGGGCGGTCGGAGGTGAGGCAGGAATACTTGACACCCACTGAAATTTTCCATGTGAGAGTGACCCCCCCCAGTTAGACTAGACATACTTAAAGGGAACATATTTGTCTAGCCTTGCCAGTTAAACCAGGCCCTGTTCCATGGTGTGGGAAACACCTGTAGAACCAATGAACAAACAAATCTGGACAAATAAAAAAATAATCTCTATTACTATCTCGTAATAGTCACACTAAAATCAGCATTTCTTTAAAAATGCATGAGCGCCGTGGTGTTTCCCGGTGTGAAAACAAGCCGTTTTATGAAATTGGTGTGCATTTACTATTAAAGAGGAGAGTATCTACTTATTAATATTCCCAAAGGGTAGCTTTTGGGTTCGCTGCTGCGCTGCCGTTATAATTTTCTGTAATTATATAGGGCTGATTGTAGTTTGCCAACAGAGCGTCAATAAAATGAAATGTAACCCTGGAACTAACATGCTCACACCACCCCAACCCCAGTCTCTTTCTTTTTCTCTCCTGTAGTTTTCTTGCTCTGAGTGTGCAGCCTTACCATTATCAGGGCCCAGGGAGGCCAAGAGGATGTCCTCCTTACAGCCCTAATCATAGAAAGTACAAGAAGTACAGAGCTGTCCTGTGGCATTCAATTTGTTCAAAGAGCAGGGAGGGCTTCTGTTAGGGGACCTGTTGTGATGATCTAAAAGTGGAGAGAGAATTCTGTTTGTATTTCTTTGGTTTTGGGTTTTTTATGGTGGTGGAGATTAAACCTGGGGTCTCGCATGTGTTGGGCAAGTGATCTACTACTGAACTACATGCCCAGCACAGAAATACATTTGAGTACCTTTGAGGCGCGCTTAGGAGCCAGGGCCTGAAAGGAGCTTGCCTGAAGTTAGCATTAGGGGACAGAGCCATCTAGAAGCCAGAAAGTAGATCCTCTGTAAACACTGAATCTGCTGGCGGCTTCGTCTGGGGGTTCTGAACTCCAGAACTATCTAATGGGAGGTAACCTGCACTGTAGGAGGGGTGGTGGGGGTCTCATTTTATTTTGTTCAACTTTGGACACAGTCAGTGCCATTAAATCGTTGAATGACTGCATATGAATAAATGAATGAATGAATGAATACATGGGTGCATGAATGAATGAAGCTACCACAAACTGACATGAACTGGACTAGAAGGTGACCCTTACTCTTCCATTCTCTAGATATGTGGCTTGGGACAAATAAGTTGTGGTCTTTTTGGATTGCTTCCTCAGCAGAAGAAAAGACCACGGGGAGCGTATGTCTCCTCTATGCCCTGTGCTCCAGGCAGGGTAGTGCCTTGGCAATGTTTCAGTACTAGAAACGGGTGGGGGGCAGCGCTATGAGGGAAGGCGTGGGCTCCTTCGGAGGCTGGCATGGGGCAGGCAGGTGAAGGATCGGGAGGAAAGCCCCAAGCACTGACTCAGAGTGGCTGAGATGCAGAGGTCAGGCGACTGCTGGGGCAGGGGTCCAGAGAAGATGCTGGAAGGCAAGGAGGGAGGACTGCCCGCACCGGCCTCTCCCAGCACCCTCTCTGAGCTGAACTCCGCAGCATGAGGAGATGACTACCTTTGTTTTTTTTGGTTTTTTGTTTGTTTGTTTGTTTGTTTTCAGCACACTTGCTTTTCAGAGCAGATTTAACCCCGTCCCTCCTGATACTCAAATGTATCGTCTCTAATCACTTGTTCTTATGAACAAAGTGACCAGAAACACCAAGGTTCCAGCTCTCTGTGGACAAGTGTGTTTCTGCATTTAAAATGGTAACATCTACGTGTGGAGCCATTGTAAGAGGCTCTTGCCTAATTCATTAAGATTTTATGTGAATTTGGAATATTTAAACGCATGTCCAACCACAAAGAACCTAAAGGCCCAGCCTTCTTTGAGGAGCTCAGGTGTGGCCTGCCTCATGGTATAACTCAAAGTAATTCAGCTTTACTCTGTTTCTTGCCATATCACCTGTGCCATACCACCCGCGTCTGCCTCTTTACTTACAGCCGAGGGCTGCAGCTCCACAGGTGGACTTGCAGGCTGGGCTTAAATGGCTCTCCAAAGGCAGGGGGTACATGGCGTTCCCTGGCATCCTCGCTGGGACTCCCACAGGACGTTGGCAAGGGGAGTTGGTGAAAGAGAAAGTCTGACTTTCATTTCCTGACTCCAAGCAACATCATTCCGTGATTTCAAGTGAGGCGCCTCGTTTTCAGACCCTCACTGTGCCAAGTTGTGGGAGAATTTTAATTCAGCTTGGTCTTCCTTAATTTGCTGTGAATGCACGCGTTTTAATCTTCTTTTATTAAAAATAAATCCACCCTCTTCACTCAGGTCTCTTGTGTAAATATCTAATTAGGGCAGATGCGTGGCCCGGTCCAACGTGAGTGTGTCACCGTCCCTCAAGAAAGAACTGACTTCAAAGAACTGCCCCCGCCACGTGAGCGATGTTAATTGAGCCAAATAGCGTGCATGAATTATTTATAACTGCTCCTCTGGTTATTTGGTGAGAAAAATCTGGTCCCAAATTGCAGCTAAGAAAAGCAATGTCCCTGCATTATAACTCAGAGAAACATTTAGACCCTCTCTGGCACACCCAGTCATGTGAGCACTGAACATGCACAGTTTCTCTGGTGCCTAAGATGTGAGGGCTGAACCTGCCTAAGCCCTGGAGCTAATCTGCGCAGCCTCTTTCCAACCCAGCCTGAGTGCTCCTGGGTAAGGATGTAGAATATGTATTATTGATAGGATTGAGGGCTGGAGTCTCGCCTTGCACCCTCCTGCCCCCACCTCCCATTGCATGCTGGATCAGCTGAGAAGGAGGTACCAGGCCCTTTTTCTACTGCTGAGATGGCCAATCTTAGTGCATATAGTCGGTGGTCAGTGCCCCTGCAGGCATGAGTTTACCTTCCATTTGCTCAGCTGAGCATCACTCCTGTGTCCTACACCCTTTCTCAACAAAGGAGGCATGGGAAGCATGTGGCAAGCCTCACTAAAAGTTTGCCACAGCATATCCTTGATGCAAGGTAGAATCGCAGTAATCTATTCATATCCACAGCATTTAGATGGCATCCTTTCTGCCTGTTTCCTCTGCCCCTTCAAGACGCACAGAGAGCTCTTTCCCTACCTTGGAACTAGGGTCCCAGGATGCTAATCAATAAGTGAAAATGCATCATGGTACAGAAGCTGCAAGCAGGAGTCTGTTGACTAGAAGGGACCTGGACACTGGCTTTGGTTTCTTTGGTTTTGAGACAGGGTTTTCTATAACTCAGACTGACTTGGAACCCAGAATGTGCTATGTAGCCAAGGGTGACCTTGCACTTCTGACCCTCTTGTTTATGGCGTGCACGTGGTGGTCTCGCTCTTGTCTTATGCCTATACCCAAGGTCACATGAATGCTGAGCTACATGCCTAGTCTTTCACCACGTTCTGAAAGCACCCCTCTTTTAAAGATGGTATTGCACAATTAGGGTAAAAATGCCCAGCCCTCAAACCTAGGGTGTGAGGATTTGAACAAAAGTATGTCTCTCTTAGCTCCCAAACGCCCATCAAGAGGAAGCACTGACTGTTTCCCTAGGAATTTTGATGGGTTACTAATTATACGGTCACAGGGAGAGAATGCTCTTCTCTTCACCTCTGGAATATAGTTCCTTCTTATGCTTTCTAGAACTTTCTACTCCCAGTGGCTGTGGAGGGCACAGGCTAGCCCATTGAGTCCTATATGAGGGTACAGACCTAAATTCTCCAGCCTGTTTTCTCTTGGTCTCAACAAGGAGGGAATCACCATGCTGCTTCCAGGGGGTGCTGGGTTCCTTATGTGTGCCTTACTCCCACAGAGTCTTGCAGCGGGCAGGTAGATCAGCGGTGTCTGTGCAGTAGCTTTTAGCTGTAAACCACATCCCTGTCATCTTGCATATCTGTGTCACCTGCCTCTCAATTCTCCTGTCTTGTGGTCCAACTAGAACAGGTCTCATTGTCCCAACCAGAACCCATATTCTGTGGCTCTGGTCATGCGGATAGTTCTAGCTACTTCTGGAAGCTGAGCAGTGTTGTCTGAGACCTCCGCTGACTGCCATGCCCTACGGCAGTGGGTCTGACAGCTTGGGCAGGAGGTAGCGGGTGGTAAGATAGATATCATTGTGTCTGTAATTAGAGGCCCTTGCTGTCGTTTAGGAAGGCCTAAAACTGTCCTATGGTGATAGGGGAGAGAGATGGGGAGAGAAATGAAGGAAGGAAAGGGACAGGAGAGGTGCTCCGAGGTAAAGAGATCTGACCCCTGCTCTCTTACAGAGGACCCAGTTTGGTTCCCAGAACTCCTATTGGGTAACCCACAGCCACCTGTAACTGCACCTCCAGGAGATCAGACACCTTCTTCTGGCCTCTACACACACATTTAGTTGCTGGGCACTGGCAGAGTGGGGTGCCCAGGTGATTGGCACATTTGCTGAGGCAATTATCCCGGGATTGTAGAAGCTGATTTCAGCATAGAGAACATTAGTCTATCAAAATACTTTCACGTCTCCCCTGGAAGCAGTAATGGAAGTGTTGGTTTATTCATGGGTCTTGATCGAAGGGCATCACTGGCTGATTTATAACCCAGATAAAGTCAAATAAAAGTCACTGAGGGGAGGAAGTGATCTTTCGCTGACTCTACCTCGGAAAGTGTCTCTCTCTCTCTCCCTGGAGGGCTCCCAAAACACCGCCCACAGTGCACAGCTGTCTCTTCCCAAGACCCCAGGTGCAGCTGGTCTGTGAGGGGTGCTTCATGCACAGGACACAAGAAGTGACCAGAGGGGAAATGCAGCAGGGTCGGGGCTACCCGTAGGCTTAGTGAAAATAGGGGAACTGCCTCCCATGCCTTCTTGCCCCCGAAAGTAGAAACCCATAGCCCTACTGAGTGTTCTTGGGGCTCTGACATAAGGCAAGTTCAGAGAAGGTGTTGTCAGCCGTGTCCTTACTCTAGTGGCTCTGAAGGAAGAGCGCATATTCATCTGGTCCCTCCAAATGTAGTGGGTCCCCAGCTACAGAAACCTGCTCCCTCATCTCCTGACAGCACCCTTGCCGTTTTACGCGGTGCTGTTGGGACTCAGCCTCTCTTTCCCCTCCAGCCACCAGACCATGAGGGGCTCTCACAAAAATGTACATTCAAACGCAGAGAAGAGTAGACAGGGAGCCCAGACAGCAGGAGACAGATGGACAGATGGATAGGCAGACGGAGAGCTGTCGTCAATGACCGAGTCAGGGTGATCTGTGGTGTGGAGGGCTGTTAGGGAGAGCAGGGTATCCATGGTGGCTGATGAGGGCCGGTGGAGTGGGGGGTGGTGCCTGAGATGCGGAAGCAGATAAGAGGGAAGTAGCTGCTCAGGATAGCAGAGTGACCAAGGGGCTGGGGATTGGAGTGGATTGGAACAAGGGCGCCATCCCTGAAAGACCACACCTCGTGTGGTAGTAACTTCACAGATAGTAACACCTGGACACTCTCGTTAACCCAAAGCTACAGTAGTGGTGAGCGTGGACACGGTGACGGCATGAAACCTCCCCTAAGCACTCAGGAAAATCAGTGTCCGGCCTGTGGGCTATGTGTGGGCAGCGACTGCGTCATCAGGGCTCCGACCTCGTCGGTTGATCAATCCACTGATAGGTTCAAGATCTGATGGTGTTTGGGGTAAGGCTCCCCCTAAGGTGTTTTCCACAGGGGTTCTGTCACAGTCATGGCAAGCTGACATGCACGGACCGTAATCAGAGTTCCTTTCCCAGTGGGCGAGCCTCACCATTCAGATTTCCTTTGTAGGAACTGGTGACACCTTCCATGAGAGCCATGGGCTTTTGTGCTGGAGAAAGGGACAAAGACAGAGGGCGCTGAGAGCCCTTGTTGTGCCCGGGATTTATCCTTCATTTAAAAATCTGTGGATATTGAACTTACTTTCCTTGCCTTTTTTCCCCCATAATCATTAATATCCACTGACTAGTGAAAATTTGGGTTAAGTAAGATCAAAAGGTTATTCTAACCAATCACCTGCTTCTGTTTACATGGGAAAGAAGAGCTCACTCTGACTTCCACTCCCTGGTCTTATGCAGCCCCCATTTATTGCAATTCTATGTGACCCTCATTCACCTTCGCCGGTCCTATGTGATCCCCATTCGCCAGTCCTATGTGATCCCCATTCATGCTTCTATGTGTCCCCCATCTCTTAGTTTGACGTTCTCTTCATGTCGTCACAACTTGTAGATTTTCAGAGTCTTCCTGTCTTCTCAGGTTGGAAATGTGGGGGTTTTTTTTTCCCCTATGGGGAAGACCAAAGCTTATCCCTAAGAGTCTAGCTCCATGTACCCCCATTTGGCCCCATGGAGAGAGATGTTGTTAGCTGCCTGGTCTCTAACCCAGTGTCTGATTTGACCAGACCCTTGCTGCTTGTTGATGAGATGAGTCCAAATATGATTTCACAATCTGTGAAAATGTGCTCCTGCGTGGGAGCCTGTGATTTCCATGATCTGGCCTTGTGGCTTTGATGAAAGAGACTGGATTCCGACAGAAGAGGCTCTTCACTTCTTACTCATCTTCAAGAGGGCTCGGTGAATAATTGGAATTATGCAAATTAGCACGCACCACATAGGGGATTGAAATTGTTCCCTAACAGACCTGCCAACAGGCTCAAAGGCTTGCAGGTCCTTTCCAAAAAGCCGAGTCAGATGTTACTTATCCACACCCTTCTCTCTTCCTCCCCACTTCCCTCTCTCCTCTCCTCCTCCTCCCTCTATCTCTGTTTATCTGTCACCCCCCACACACACCTCCTTCCTTCCCTGTCTCTTCTCCCTTCCTTCCTAGGGGTCAGTACCTGGTTGTCACCCCACTGCACCTTCAAACACCAAGGATGACACTTGCCTCCAGCAGGCCAGTTCTTACCTATTCAGATAGCCAGTTCCTGGAGGTTATCTGTCAGGTGACCAACAGCCAGGGCAGGGACACCCACCCCCAAGCCTCTCTCCCTCTTCCCTCGTTCCTGCCTGATTTCTTTTGCTTTTGCTTTTTTTCTCGACGTGGGGACCCCTTTGGCAACCTCATTTTAAAGATGTTTCCGTGTTTGCATCAGACATTCAATTACCTTTGCTCAAAAGCAATTAAGTTCCACCCTTCACCCACTGAGCTGAGGACCCCCTGTGAACATCTTTTCTTTTTTAATAAGCAAAGCCATCTTCAAAGGGGCAGGGTCACGTGGCTACACCTGAAACATGCTGTGTCTGCAGATTTTAATGAATGGCTTTTTAAAAAAAAATAATTGTTTAAATCTCTCATCCCTATAAGTATATTCACACCTAAATGTTAGGAAAGGTCTGGGTTTTGTTTCTTTTGCCACGGAAAGGTATTGTTTTATCTGAGTTCTTGTCTTCCTGGAACTTTAAAAAGCAATTATCTTGTTGAGGTGAGTCACCTTGTCCTGATTTTATAGAAGACAGACATTAGAAACAGGTACTTGGGGCTGGAGAGCTGTCTCAGTGGCACTTGCAGAGGGCCGAAGTTCGGTTCCCAGCACTCACACGGACTTGAGGGAAAGGGATCACAGTAGATGGTAACTCCAGTTCCAGGGGAGCCGACACCCTTGCATGGCTTCCCAAGTCACTGTCCTCACATACGTTACACATATGGACAACCAAGCCCTTTGAGTTTTGGATAAGTTTTGGATAAGGGGTAGCAAAAGCAGAAAGGGCCAAGGCCAGCAACTCTGCTGGGTTCCGAAAGAGCGACAGAAGTTACCAGCCACCATTTCACAGCACCAGCTCCTTCCTCCCAGCTCTGAACTTCCTACACTGAACTGCTGCTCACGGGTGCAAGGTGCCCAGCCTTAGCTGACCAGCACCCATGGGTGTACGCCATCTGTGCTGCAGGAGAGAAAGAAACACCTGTCCGTTGTCAGTCAAGTGTGTGGAGCCCTCCTACCTGAAGCTAAAGACTTTCTGCTATGGAGATTCGTCACAGATCAAATTTAGTCTGCTCCCAGAACCTTCACTGTCCTGTCTAAGACCCAGGGGTAATCTGTGTGCTAAAGTGAAGGACCCTGGGAATGAGACAGTGGTCCTGAGAAAAATATCATGGCACCTTCCGTGCCTTCATTCATGTTCCCTTGGTGTGAAGATGGTGTCCCCCGCAAACACACCAAGAACATGAGAGGGAGATGGTGGCCTTCATACTTCTTTTGTATATAAACCTATCACTCTCCAGAGATGTAGAGTTCCAACATCCGGTGTTGGGCCCCCATGTGATTCTAGTAACATGGGTTGTCACCAGAAAGTGAGTCTGAGGGAGCAAGTCACCGGCTAACAAGTGGTTCCATGGCCTTCTCAATCCTTCAGCCTCAAACTTCCCACGCTCACTCTTCAGTTCCCCCTAGGAAGCAGTTCCTGTGGGCGAAGACAAAGATGGCGTGACAGTAGGTCAGGCACAACTTCCTCCAACCCTCTGTCCTCCCATTTGCTGGAGGTTCTGGTAGTATGCTTCATTTCGGGGAAACTGGGACTGACACCCTGGTTGTGTGACCCTTCTAAGGGGTGGCTGAGGCTGCTCTTGCCCTCCCCTTCCAAGTCTGGGAGCTTCCACGGTCACAGACAGGACTTGGCTCGGCTTTGCATGTCCAGATCCTAGCAGGCTACTTGAACCTGGTCACGGGAAGTCCTGACAAAGTATTCAATGGAATAAGAAAGATGGGTTTATAGTCAAACTGATAGATGGGTGGATTTCGAGTAGAGTAAAAATAAAGTATGCTTTTCTGAGAATAGATTGCTTTGTTCATTCCAGCTCTGCAGACCGCACTAGCTCCGTGCCTCCTGCTCCCAGCACTTGGCAGGCGCGCAGCGAATGCTAGTCAGCTACAAATCCTTGGAGTTCGGCATGGATTTAATGCCTCTTTCACACATTATTTCCGCACAGATTCGTGTCTGTGCTTACTAAGTAGCCTGCGCGAGTTTTTGAGAGTGGATGGCCAGGGATCCTCCGACAGGTTGTCACTAGGCTTAGAATACAAGTGGGACAATAAAGAGACACCAGATGGCTGGACAGGTTGTGACGTCTGCAGTGTGTCTCCCTCTGCTGGTCCCAGCCGGAATTTCAGCTCTGAGAACTTAAGAGACCACCGCCATGACAGGAGAGAGGAATGGAGCTTCACCCTCCTCCAGGGTGCTGGCCTCGCCTCCTCTTAGATCTCCGAGTGCTCGATGAGGGAGGTTATTAATGCTTGGGATGCAGCACCATGTTTCATCCAGGAATTCTACGTCTCTGGAGTTGGATTGAGGCAATTAATAATTCCCAATCAATTACTCTACAGTTTCCTCTAGTGTATGTAGAGCACCATGGCATCGTTCAGTAACAGATTGGAAAGGGAAAAGGCAGTGTGTGGCAATGAGTGTGGAGCTGCCTGTCAAAGGAGCTGCCTGTCAAAGGAGAGCCTGGGCAGCATGGATCCAGTTGAGGGTGTATGTCCCCAGCAGTCCTGACCTTCACCGTGGCGTTTTATAACCCTGCAGCCTAACTTTGCCCAGTCTTTCACCACCCGGGAGCCACTGGTTCGCAACCCTCGTGGGGTTACTGTGTCCATGACACACATGCAGACAGCAGCCTAGAGCAGGTACGCACTCAAGCAGAGATTTGTTGGTGTCTGTGGCTCACTTTATAAATCTACAGTATGCCTTTGGGAACTAGGAAGACGAGAGGCCACATGTGCTGGTAGCTGCTGACTAATTGTTCTGGGATGATTGTTCAATGTACAGGGACGGGGGTTGTTTCGTCTTGGCGGGGCTGCCTGCTGAGAAGCTCCGGGCATGTTCCTTGGCATGTTCCTTCTAGGTCTTCAGTAATTACAAACATTAGTGCTCCCTATTGGAACAACCTGAGCGCAGAGTGTCTACTGGCCTCAGTTCTGAGGTCTGGTCCATCCAAATCTCTCACGGAGGTTCTGGGTAGCAGATCTCAATAAGGATGGGACAGATTCTCTGGGCTGGCTGTGGACGAGGTTCCATGGACAGGGAGCCCATATCCGCGCTGGGAGGAGCCATTGCCTGCCTCCATTGGTCAGGAGTCCTCAAGTAAGGTTTATTACATTACAGGGTGGTCACCATCACCGTCGCTTCTAATGATGGTTGAAGGTGATTGGGCAAAGTGGGGGCCAAGTGTGAATTCGAGGTTACTGCTTGTGGGGTCCTGGTATGGAAAAAGCTTTCTCTGTGTTGACCCTCTTGCCAACTGGACTGTCCCCTGCATCCATCCAATCTGGTAAACACTTAGCTTCCTCCTGAGACTGTAAATGGCTCTGTGGAACAGGAAGTTAGTGCAGTCAGAAGCAAGGTCTGGAGAGGGCTGTTGAAGTAGACCTGGAGAACTCAGAGCCACCGGATGGAAGAGGGAAGAGAAGGACCCTGAAGCCAGCCTCAAACTGGTTGGCCAGGAGCTCCCGTGCCAGGTCTGGAGGGAATGAATTTGGCTAGTGAGAAGGACCCAATAATCACACAGGAAGACACTGGCATCTCTTTACCCAAGATAGGACACCCACCATAGACACAACTTGGCCAGAGAATGACTGTGGAAGGGAAGTGGTGAGCGGTTGGTACTGGGGGACATGATATCTGGGGTGCCAGGTGACTCCTTAAGATGCCTCTTGGTTAGCAGTGTGCACAAAACTGAGGTCTGGTCATACTCCACGCTGGTTCACCCTTAGCAGTGTGGGAGTTGTGAGCCGTGGGAACTCTGGCCGGGTCCGCAGGTGACCGTGACTGTACCACCACAGTGTGGGAAGACAAAATAGACTGTGAAGTTGGGAGGCAGAGTTCTTGACTCCCTTGAAACCTATAATGAGTTCGTCTCTTATTTCTTTCCCCTCCCTATCGAGTGACAGCCATGTTCAGGGCCGGCTACCCAGGAACGATTCTAAGTAAGTCCTTATCTCTTTGCAGGTGTGCCATGGAGCCCTTCTGTCCACTCCTGCTGGCAAGTTTTAGCTTGTCACTCGCCAGAGCTGGCAAGGGCAACGACACCACTCCAACAGAGGGCAATTGGACAAGCACAACCGCAGGTAAGAGCCCTACCCTCATCCCAGCTACCCCTGTGGCTGCCTCGCACACGGCCCCCTCCCAAGCACCTCGAACTGCTGGGGGAAGATGGGTTCAGCGAATCTTCCAGTGTGGCAACCAGGAAGCCGAGCACGTTCCCTTGACCAGAGCTATCTAAGTGTGTCCAGGGAGGCTGTCCACCTGCTGAGGAGGGCCTCAGCATTGGTGGAAGAAGGAGACCGTGAGAAAGCCTGAGAGGAGCCGTCAAGATGGCTCGGGAACAAAGAGCCTGCTGTCAGACCTGACAACCTGAGTTCGATCCCTGAGACCCACACAGTGGAAAAGGAGAAAACTGACTCCTGAAAGTTGTCTTTTGGCCTCTCCACGCACACTGTGACATATATGTGCCCACTTGTCGACACACACAATTAATTAATTAATTTAACAATAAATTCTGAGAAGTCTGGCTGCGTAGAGCCCTGTTAGAACCAACAACAGTTTACCAAACCCTGACCCGTGGGTTGGGCAAATGTGAATATTGGTTTGATGGTTCGTTGGGTAACTTTTCCTGAGGAGACATGAGCAAACAGCTATTTGCCCAAGAGAAGACACACCCCCCCCATAGACCCAAGAAATGACAGCGCCCATGTCTCCCTTGGTGAGCCAGTACATGTCTTGGGGTTATGCAGAGAAGCAGGCATGACTCAGAGGCAGCTGCCTCAGTGGAAAGCCTACTCCCGCCTGGGTAACAGCTCACAGGCGCTGTCTCATGGCTGTCTTATGGCTGTCTCCTAGGCAACATGTAAGCAACTCCGTTGAAGACTCCCTCTACCCCAAACACACCCCTGGCGATTCGTCTATGGCTTGTAAAACCTTGTGGGTCTTAGAGTTTTCTTATGTTTTGTGAGCTTCTGACTCCCCTTCATGAGAAGATGTTTCAACATTGAGGAAGTTGCCACACAACAGGTCTAATAATGGTGACTAAGAAATCATTGTTACACTATTCTGTAATATCGATATGTGGCGAGATTTCTCTTTTAAAAAAGTCACTAATTTTAGAGACGTATGAGGAGCCTTCTTGGGTGTCTCGTGGCTTCTAGGAGATGGAGTTGCAATGGAGTCCTCATGAGAAAGTTAGGACAGGTACAGTCCAGGGCAGGGGCTTTGTAGTTTAAAGGATACAGAAAAGGAAAAAAACACACTGGTGTCCATGTGATATCCAGGAGAAAGCTCGGGGATATTCCCAGTGACACCAGGTAGACAGCGGGACCACATGTCATAGACTAAGGTAGGATTCCATTGAGAGAAAGTCTCCAGGCTCTCACCGCCTGGGTTCCAGCCTCATCTCAGCTGCTGGTTAGCTGAGTAACCTGAAAGGCCTTACTGAACCCCTCTGTGCCTCCCTGCCTGGACTTAGGAGGCACAGGTGGTAGCCATCCCGGCTGTTGGTTGGCAGTGCAGTGAGCATTACAGAGACAAGCGGGCTGGACAGTCTTCAGGACACAGCACCACCCTACAGTGTTTGCTTCTGCTGTGGTCTCCAGGGAGCAAGCTCCAGACTCGGCCATCTAACCGGCCTCTGAAAGTCGGGAATGCTGCTGCTAAAATCCCGCAACTCCTTCACTGTGATTATTTTTAGGGATTGTGCTGTACCCAGGGAGAGCTAGGCTCAGGGCAGAAGGATGGGATCAGGATGAGCAGTTGACAGGGATTCCCCGCAGCGTGGCCCTGGTGGTAAAGTCAGAATGAACGTGCAGTAGCAAAGGCTAACCCCTGTCTCTGCACCTGCCTCATGCCCATCCCCTACTTGCTCCATTCCTGATAGGGTGAAGTCTAGACACACTGGGGCAGACCATCTGCCTTACTCAGCCTATGGATTCTAGTGTTAATCCCACCCAGAAATCCCCTCAGGTGGCTGTCTCTGACTTGGCGGCCGTGCCCCGATCTAGTTTACATATGAAATTCAGCGTCCTGCTTGGCCCTTGCAAGGCTTAAAGAAAACCCAAATTGTCAATACCCTTAGAGAAACACTCTTTAGAAAAGTCCATGGAAGTTGGTGCCATCCCAGTGGGTCAGCTTCGCCCCGTCAAGGGCTCTACAGGGTCTCCTGTCCCTAGGTAAGGGGAGGAAAGAAGTGCCGTGCTACCATGGAAGCAAACACCGGGCTGACAGCACCTTGGCTGGCTGTACTGTCTTTCCACTTCCTCTTTGTCGTGACACCCCAAGGGAAACCCACAGCCACAGAAAAAAACAACCCAGACGCTGCAACACACGCCTCTCTGCAGGTGGCTTTCCACACAGAAGTCCTCAGCAGTGTCCTGAAACCTGGGGCATCCCAGACCTGCCTCAAGAACAGTGACTTTCTCGAACATTCACTAAAGTCTTCCAACCCACACCCCTAACTTCTCTAACTTCCTTCACCAACACCAATCAGCTGGCTGTTTCGGGATGCCTGGAAGGCTGTCAGTCTGTCCCTGTGAACATCTGGAAGCCCTGGGGACGGAGTATCCATCCCCTCACAGTAGGAGTAGGGATTGTCAGAGTCCCGTCCCTCAGGGTGGCATCACCGTCCACGTCTAGGGCTTTCCGGTTCATGTGAAAGCAAGATCTATTGGTTCATGACATTGTCGTGGGCAGGAAGTGTTGCTTTCAGGAAGAGAGGACTGTCACATGACCCCAGCACCCAGAACAGAAACAAATTCTGGTTAGGTCTCTTCCGGGCCTCAGCAGGCTTAGCAGCATCTGTGGTCGCACTATTAGAAGCTATGAAGGCCTCAGGTTACATGGCAGATCCTTTGTCCTGGAACTTGGGAGGTCACCCCAAGTACCCTGTAAAAGATCTGGCTCCGGAAAAAGTATGAAGTATCTCTTGAGGGTTAGCACATTGCCGGGATGTGCCAGAACAACAGGAAATGGCTTCTTTTCATCATCGGCCAAAATGAATTCAATATTCATCATGACGCATTTTCTTAGACAAAGAATTCATGATAAATATGTAAAAATTGTAAGGAAATGTTATCGTCTATAATACATACAGGAAGAACCCTTGAAAATTAACATGTAAAAGAGCGCAGCAGGAAAATAGACGATGCACTGATTTACTTTACTATTGCTGTGATAAAGACCGGTGACCAAAAGCACCCAGGGAGGCAAGGGTTAATGCGGCTTACATATTCCTATCAAGGTCCTCCCCAACGGGAAGTCAGGGCAGGAGCTCAAAGAGGAACTAAAGCAGAAACCAAGAAGGACCCCTGCTTACAGCCTCCCTCACTGGCTCTACCCACGACAGGCTCAAGGTCAAGACCCCCGCCCTTCTTAGGGATGGTGCTACCTACAGAGGTCTGAGGTCTCCTACATCAACCGATAATTGATAAAATGTCCCACTGACGTGACCATAGGCATATCTGAATAAGGCAGTCCTCCAGATAATTCTGGGCTCTGTCAAGTTGACAGCTGAAGCTATTAGGAGATGTCAAATGCAACCAGGGAAAAATCAAAGTATCTAATTAATTCCATTTTAATTGTCATGCAAAGGAGCCAAACTCTCTAGAAATCAGAGAAAACTGAGTTAAAATGTTACTGTGTTTTTGCCTGTCCGGGAGAAAGTGGCTCTCTCATATACCCCAAGTGAGCATGGACGTCAGATGCCTTGGGAGATCATCTGAAATTTTCCATGGCTGTTTGATAATGTATGTGGTGGACACAAGGGTCCACTTGTCGGAGATGCCATGCAGAAACCCTGGGGAGACAAAGTGCACAAGTTAGGTGCTGGAGAGAGGACTCAGTGGTTGGGTTCCCGGCACCACACGGCCCTTCACAACCGACTGAAACCTCAGTTCCAGGAGATCAGACACCCTCTTCTGGACAACACAAGCACTTGCACACACATGGAACAAACACACCAAGACAGACACACATGCATACACATAAACACTTGCTGTATTGGAAATGAGTCTCTTTTTTTTTTTAAGTACAGAAGTAGAAGTGCAGGGAAGAGCCAAGTGGGAAATAGCCTCAAATACCCATGCGATCTGGGTCCATCCAAAGCATAGGACTGCAAGCAGCTGGGACACAGAATGAAGACACTCACCCAGCGTGGCAGCTCTCTGGGGTCAATGGGAGAGGTGAACAGGGCACCTGTTCGGAGTGTGTGTCATCTGGTCACTTCATTCATAGCGTTAGTGTTGGGATGTGTCAAGGGGACGATTCTGCATAATCATTAGTTGGGGGCTTTTCCTTCCCAAACAATTCATAAGATAACGGGACTTCCTGCGACCCTTGCGATCTTGGATGAGAGGATAGAGGAGTGAGTCTATTTACTTACTGAACCCGCATGTCTATGAACGCAGCTTCATAGGAGAAAATGTACAGGAAGATACCCTCCCAACTTCAGGTCAAGGAAACAAAGCAGTTGGTCACTTTGTCTGCGCTACTTGGATGTTTATCACATAAACATTCATGGGCCTCTGGCTCACGACGCTTTATGGACTAGAACCCAGAAAGTTCTGCAGTCCAATCTTTCAGGGGCTGTGTTGTCTCTTCCCAGAACACAGCTCCTCACCGTGCTCCCTGTCTTTCCTTCCATCCTCTCCCCTGAGGACCCCTTAGAGATACAGAACACCCCTTCATTGGAGGAGTACTATCTGTTGCAAATTGGTGCAGAGCTCCACGTGGTTTGGAAAGACCTGACACCCCACCCCACCCCAGCCTGGTTGGCCCATACCCCTCTGCATGGTCCCTCTCAATAGCAGATTAATCGCTGGGGGAATCTGTGTCTCCCACAGAGGAAAAAGCTCCAGACCACGCCACACCTGCAAACCATTGTCTTTCCAGTGTCAGGACCAGATTCTGTGTAAGCAAATGTGTGGACACATACATGCAAGAATTTCTATGCCTAAAATATATGTAAACATACGTGTACTTGCTCATGTACAGTTGGGAAACTCGACATCACTTTAGGGAATTAGGCTGAGCTATCTAGAAAGACCTAGAGTCAGTGTGAACTGGAGGCAGAATGTGACTATAGGATGTCCCCTGGGAGACCTCATGCCTCTCTGGGTGGAATGCCACTGGGGCCGAGGGAACACTGTCCTGGTTGCACAAGGGTTTCTTTTCTGGCCCACACTGTTTATCAAAGTTCAATTTAAATCTAATTACTGACCCAAATCGACAACTTCAAAAGCTTTTACATAAAGTTTGCAATGTCTGAAGTAAGTAGTCTGGACCTATCTTCCCATAGCCTCTGACTCCCCAGAGCCAGACCAAACCCCACATGGATCCCTGTGTTCCCCACCAACCACCCTGGCTTTGGATATTCCTACTGTCCTTGAAAAGCCTAGGGAGTTCTGGTCCTGACCTCTGCCTTCCTGGACAAACCTCATTATAAGTCACAGAAACCAATTTGAGGGAGAGCGGTCCCCCTGAGTCACTTGTTCTGCCTGTGTGACAACCCATCTACAGCGTGGAACATCCAATCCATGCCTTGTGGAATCCCCACGTCTGTTACCACAGCCTGTCCTCCAAGAACATGGACATGGAGGCTGGCCCATCAAGTCTTTGACAAGGCCCAGGGGAGAACTGGCGGGGCCCAGAGGCCTCCCTGACTGCGACAGAGTGGACCTTGTGGCTGAGCAGTTGAGCGACTGCCCGTGCAGAGCAGATGCTGAGCCAGAGGCTGACCTCTGGGCAATGCAGAAGTGGGTAGTTTCACTGTGGTGACTCGCCGAGAAAAGATAGTGAGTGTTCCTGGAGAAGAAGGAGGAGGCTTCCCACGCCTTCTAATGGCCTTTGGCCAAAAATAGATGGAGTTGAACCAGGGTACCCTGAGCAATGCAACTCCTTGGCACTGGCTCAGCCCTGCCCTTTCAGTTCCAGGCAGCTCTCAGCAGCCCAGGCTAGAATTCTCTCCAGGTCCTACCTAGCCCAGGGTATAGCATTCCTGAGTCACAGATAGGAAGTCTTGGGTTAAGCTGCTCCAACGGGCAGGTTTAGGCTGGAAAGAAGGGACAGATATTCCTAGCTGTTAAGCCTAATACAAACCTCTGGGACAGGGCCACAGGTTTGCGACGGGTCACAGCCTCTAGATTACATGCACAGAGATAGGAAGACAATGACCAGATTTAAAACTCCTTCGTGGATCCCTGAGCTTCAAGGGTCTTAGGCCGGCCCATGGAAGGAAGGACGAGAACCCCCCCGCCCCCCAACACACATTCAGTTTGGGAACAATATTTGGTACTCTTGAACTCAAGAGGATAGAAATTTAGGTACTGATCTCCAGGGCCCTCCCATAGGGGGCATGCTCACTCCTGACAGCTTTTGGCCCTCAACTCTAGTACACAGTCCTCTGGGCCAGTTCAAGAGGAGAGCCAAGCTGGCTAACTGGAGTAGCAGGCTTTTGATGGAACCCTTTGGTTGGGAACTTTGTGGAGATTAGAGAGCACCCTAACAGGCGGAGAGGGTGGATGAGTTGATGACCACAAGGTCACCAGAGCCAAGGGGCAGGGATGCTCAGAGAGTGGTGGATGCACAGATGGACAAGCAAGGGTGCTTTGCGAAGGCCAGAGGTTTCTGCACTCCTGACACTGTGACAGAGAGTTCACAGCCCTGAAAGCCAGCCCACAGTGTATCTGTTCCTCCAGAACTGTACCCAACTTTGAGGCCAGCCTGTTCCTTTATACCTGATATTTCTGTCCCAACTGGGCTGAGACGCAACAGCTGTTTTCTGAGGGGTCTCCACCTTCCTCTACCTCCACACTGTGAAGAGGGACTAGGTCAGAGGTGCTCAGAGAAATAGCTGACTAGCAGCGTACATTGGGGTGCAGGGGCCTCAGATAAGTCACGTCATCCTATTCCTCTGTCCCAAGAACTGATGGGAGATCATTTGCAAACTGTACCACGTGGCATGCTACGGGAATCCTCCCTCACCCCTACCCATCCCTCCCTCACCCAGAGATCCTGATGGGGGCTCTGCCCTCTACCATCTGCCCACCCACAGGTCCTCCAGACCCTGGTACCTCCCAGCCACTGCTCACCTGGCTGTTGCTGCCTCTGCTCCTCCTCTTGCTCCTCCTCGCAGCCTACTTCTTCAGGTAGGAGTGTCCCCAGGCGCTGACGTGCCCTAACCAGCTCCTATGAGGAAATGAGTGTGCTGGAGGCTGGGGGTGTGGGCCCAAACAGCTCAGACACCAGCTGGCCGGCCTGAGCTGCACAGGGCTCAGCCATGAGCAGCCGAAAGAGCTTTTCCCGGCTCACCTGGTGGGTATCGCCACACTCAGGGCTTGGGGGCTCCTGCCGGGCCAGGACCTAACACATCTTCTGCCTCTAAGGTTCAGGAAGCAGAGGAAAGCCGTGGTCAGCAGCAACGACAAGAAGATGCCCAACGGGATCCTAGAAGAGCAAGGTATGATACACGGGGTCTCCGCGCTGACACAGAAAGGGACAGGCGCTCATAGCCCTGTCCAGCTGTCACTTACGCCTTCCCCTCCCTCCAGCTCCGCCTCAGTTCATGCTACCGCTTCCTAGTAGCGTAGAATTTCTCTATATTTTGGAACTTGGTGTCAGAGGTCATTTTCCCTGCACAGAAGAGCGGATGTCTGAGACATTTCAGTTTGTGGTTTTTTGGTTTTTTTTTTTTTCTTAAAGAGACCATTCATATCCTGTCAGGTTAGCAGGGCTTTGCCACCTAACATTTCACATTGAGGCCTTTGAAGTCAACCAATGGTAAGGCTCCTACTTGCGGAGAGAAGTGTTCAGTTGACACTGTGGTGCCTCAGAGTCAAGCTGGAAAGGACACTGCTCGGGCCAAAGTTACGCTCTCTTCCAAAGGAGCGTCCGTTAGGGGACATGCCTGGCTTAGATTCCGGTTGTGTCCTAACTTGTAAATGCTGCCTACAAGAACTTTTTTTTCCTTCTGTGTCCCAACGGCAGACAAAGAAAAGGTTTTAAACACACGGGTTCTAGCTGAGTAGGGTGGCACCGACTTGTAATCTCAGCGTTAGGAGGCTCAGCCAGAAGCATCACAAGTTCAAGGCCAGCCTGAGCTACATAACAAGATCTCACTTCAAATAGCCAAGGAATCCGGAGATACATTATCAGTGGCACAGCGCTTGCCCAGCATATGCAAAGTCCCTGGTACAATCCCCAGTGTGGCAACTAAAAGCTCAAAACACTGCTTTATATTGGTGGCCTCAGCTTTGCCATAACATCCTACATAGCTGTACCTGGCTTGGGGTAACTAATGTGCCGGTCATCGGAACTCAAGTGGAACTTTAGAGCTCACTCAAGGTAGTGAAGGGGCTAATGCAACCCCCAGAGCTTGGGAGAATGTAAGCAACAGAGAACTCCACTGAGCTGTCACATGGCAGGGCTTGGGGAACCTGTACGCCTCAATAGACCATCATATGGCACCAGGGTACCTCCATTCTCCAGCCTGCTCTTCTCAGTTCTCTGCATATCCAAGAAGCCAATGAAGAGGAAGATGGGACTGGGAGGGGAACAGAAACCCACAGGCTTCTACCAGGTCACCTGGCTAAAGCCAAAGGCTGTCTTGGTGCAAAGTCAGTGGCATAGACTCAGTGAACTCTCCAGATGGGACAGGGCCTTTTGCAAGGGTGACAGATGACTTGTTCTACTGACCTTATCAATGTCAGCTCTCTCCCTGTGAAGAGAAACGCCAATCCCTGACGCTGCTCGCACCTTATTCTGAGCTTATGTGAGTGACTTGTTCAAGCCCCTCGGTCCACAGCCCACCGTGTTCTTTATAAAAACCTCCTCTCCCTGCCTCAAGGATGGTTAGTTTCTCTGCATTGTAAGGTTTGGGATTTGGGGAAGCAGTCCCGTGTGTTGTCAAGAAGAGGAGGCTGCAAGACAGAGATCCTGGCAGGTTCCCATCCGTTCTGAGTTTATATCTAGAACCCTGTGATTCCTCTTCTCTGTTTCCAAACCTGGGCCCTGCAGTGTGTAGCTGCAGTAACCCTTGTGTAGGAGCACAGGCTAGCAGGGAGGATGAGTGGCGGGTGAGCTAGCGAGCAAGACCAAGAATGCAGTGTCTGTGATGGACAGGAATGCTGCCATCACTTGCTGGAAAGAGGGTGTGTTGGGAAGCAGATGTTTGGTTTAGTGGCTCAGGGCTGAGTTAGCCCCGGGGTGCGTGATTTGAGAGTGCTGCTCCCTCCCACTCTACAGACCCATCAGGAATGCTGTCAGACCGTCCAAGGACTGAGTCACCCATGGGCAATGGATCTAAGTGGCTTCTCTGTTTCTCCTGACCCTACAGAGCAGCAGAGAGTGATGCTGCTGAGCAGGTCTCCGTCGGGTCCCAAGAAGTACTTCCCCATCCCAGTGGAGCACCTGGAGGAGGAGATCCGCGTGCGATCAGCAGATGACTGCAAGCGCTTCCGCGAGGAATTCAACGTGAGTGCTCCAGGTCTAGGCTACCGTGAGGAGCAGCAGGACAGTCGGGGACCTGGTGCCGATTGAGATTGTGATGCTGCTCACAAGCAGGGTCTGGAGAGCCTGGTCCCTAGTGCTGTGCCCTTCGTTGGTGCTCACTGCCCCTTGTGAAGTGAGATGTTTGCGTCCGATGCTCCTGAGGGTTGCTGCCAGCTCAGCTACTGGGTACCGTGTGTACCACCAGTTGTGATAACCATTCTGCCATTTGCTGCCTAGTGCAGGTGGCAGTTTCATGCTGAAGGCTGCGGAGAGCCTCCCACCAAGCCTCTTGTCATGGTCCCCAGGAGGTCCAGCTTCTGATCCAATCAGCAGTTGTCCCTCCAAGCCATTGTGATGGCACAGTTCAGTAGATATGGAGACTGTCTGCAGGGGACACTAACTCATGTTCAGTGTGTGTGCGTCTCTGTTTTTGTGAGGAATCCCTCCCATAGCCTTTGAGAAGTGGCTCCCTGAGACATGCATGCCCTTGCCCACATACAGTCTCATAGTCATTCTCAAACTCTCAAGACACAGTGTAGATGGGTCACCCCACCCTGAAAGTTGCCCGTTTCCTCCCTAAAGCTGCCCATTTCCTTTTTTTTAAGTTTTTATTTTATGTGTATGTGTGCCCCATGCATACAGTGCCAGAAGAGGCCATCAGGTCCCCTAGAACTAGAGTTACAGGTGGTCGTGAGCCGCCAAGTAAGCTCTGAGAATGGAACCCAGGTCTTCTACAAGAGAAAGTGCTCTTAATCTCTCAGCCATCACCCAGGCCCAAGTTGTTCATCTTTTTAATGTCCATCAGAGGGGTAAGCTTGATGCATTATCTTGGATACAAGGCTCCATACTGTTGCTGTTTTGATGTGTTTTTGCTCACGTCTTCACCCTGCGAGCAGGGCTGGGAGCTGAACGTTGGTCCCGAGCAAGCGTGGGTGTCCAGGGATGGCCGCCTGGGCCTATCTCTGTCCCAACGGTGTCACATTGGTTCTGTTTCAGGTCACTCCCACCGCCAGCCATCAGCACCTGGGGATGGAGACTCTAGGGCAGCACACGCGTGAGGCTAAAGGATGAGGTGTTTAGACAGTGCAGTGTGGTTGTTTCTGCCTGGGGGGACAGGGGAAGGCGCTGAGGCGCTGAGACACCCTTCACTTACTTTTCAGCATTGCACCCTCCCCTTTGTCTTGCTTCCCTTCTTATTGCTGCCAAGTGTGTTTTCCTCCTCCTTTTCTTTTTTCAAATTAGGTCATACTGATGGATAGCACTCAAGCACTGGTGTTTTGAAAATTTACAACTTAAGAGCAGAAGTTAATTCTCGTTTTCGAAAATAGCTGTCCCTCACGTTACTGGTAGAAGCTTGTCCTGCCCTGCATCTCCCACTTCCCCCTTCCACTTCTGCTGTCCTGTGTGGTGCCAGTGACCCTACTGGTAGTGGAGGGTCTGAGAGTAGGCCAGGAATAGGATGAGGTAGCTGAGGGACTTGGCTTAGGTGCAGAACTCAAGAGGACATGGAAGGCACGGTCACTAAAACTTGCCATGGCTCAATAGCTTCTTTAAAATATCAAAACAAGGCGAGAGATGGCTGAACCAGCCTAAGCACAATCAAGAGAGAATGACGTCAGTGAACGTCCCTATTGCCAGGGACCCCACTATGGGCTGTATCATGAGGTTAAATAGTGGATCCTACCACTATTTAAAAGTTTGATGTTTTCACCCTTATGAATTTTGAACATTAAGTTAGCTTTTTACAAAAGATGTTTCTGGGCTAAGATGGCTCAGCAGATAAAGGCACTTGCCACCAAGCCTGACAACCTGAGTCCAATCCCAGAAACCCACATGGTGGCAGGAGAGGACTGATTTGTGAAAATGGTCTTCTGACCTTTACATTCATGCCATGGCAGGCACGTGTGCACACAGGCATGCACGTGCAGACAAATAATTGTAATCTCAAAATTGTCAAAAAAAAAAAACACGATAGAAAAGATGTTGCCTAGAGGGCTCGTTTCTGCTGGTTCTTGGCTTCTTTGGGAGCCTTGTAAATTTTATATCCCAAACAAATTCTTCCCCTTCCTGTCCCTCCCAGCCTGCCTCTGTGTAGCCCTCAGCTGTGCAGAGTACCCCTGCCTGGCAATGGGCAACTAGAGATACAGTTGTGTGGCAGAGTGTACGCAGTCTGCCCCTCTCTCCAGTGGAGAACTGGCCCTGTCCAAGGCCTCACTTCTGCGACATCTCTACTGCCCAGATCAGCCGCTCTGGCTCTCAGAGAACACATTAAGGTTGTGTTTTCCTACCCCATCTCTTTCTCTGGTCTGAAGGCCCCTTCCTAAGGTCCTGGAAGGGTTCTGGGTGAGTCTCAACATGTGTCTGGACCTTCCTGTACTGCCGAGCCCAGGGTCAGGGGAACGTGAACTTGAGGATAAGAGGAGAGGGTTTGTTTGACCTTGGGATCATCAGTACGGCTTGCTTGAGTGCTTGCCTAGGCCTGGAAGACTTCAGCTGTTTTCTAAACCTCTACTCAGTTTACTTACCTGTGAAATAGGGTTTTCCCTGCCCTATGGGACTTTGGTAACACATAAAGAAATAAGTAACAGGTAACACGTGGATGAGATGCTAACTGCTAGTTCCTCCTGGAGAGGGCAGATCTCTATCCTCTTCCCAGTTCCTGAATTCAATCCTAGAAAAGGAGGCCTCTGTGAGGGAAAACCCTTCTCTCGGGAGCATCTTCCCCCACTGTGTCCCAGCAAGCTATGTCAAACTATGGGCCTGGGACCTACCCTATGAAATACATACAAAGAGGGAGAGGGCTGTTTTCTGTTTTTTGTTTTCTTTTGTTTTTAAAACACAACCACAAACCAGAGCCATCCCCTGATGCTGATGAAGCAAAGCAGACCTCCCACAGAATGCACAGAGGGTCACTGTAGGCTGAACATCTCCAGGCCCTCT